AAAAGAAAAAATACATGAATAAAAATTACACGAATAAAAAGTTACAGTGCAGTTTAAGATATGAATAGCTCACACAGAAGTTCCACTTTACCGATGAACACAACGGTTCAGTTTCAATTAAAAGTAGCGACAAAAAGATAAGTCTTCAGCCTGGATTTAAAAGTAGTCAGAGTTGCAGTGGACCTGCAGGTTTCTGGGAGTTTGTTCCAGATATTTGGAGCATAATAACTAAACGCTGCTTTACCATGTGTAGTTTGGACTCTGGGGACAGAAAGCTGACCAGTCACACATGTCCACGTAAGGAGAAAATAATATCGATGTGTATCCCAGTTGCTTTGTCCTTCCTGAATGACGTTATCCAGGCTGCCTGTTTGTTGTGTGTTTAGTAACACTTGTCTAGGCGGATTTTGACAGAGCACTAATTTGAAGTGGTAAAGGATGAAGGGTGTGTCTTTGTGGCTGCCACTTTAGATGATGTTGACATTGAGACAGCGAGTTTTGTGTAAACCCAGGATATTTTTACAACGGCTTACAGGGATAATTTGAATGTTTTTAAGTGGTTTCGTATAAAAGGTATATCCATTGTCAGTGTATTAACTACAGTAGATGCCATAATACAGCTCTATTTAAAAGGGAACCATCTACTCTTTCACTAAATCCACTAAACTCCATTGAAAAATTAACAAACACTTTTGCCGGAGTCGCTGGTCCCACCTCTACCTCGATTGATTAGAGTTTGTGTTCCCCGTCAGAAATATAGACTTTATAGCTGTATTACGGCAAAATAAACATATTTAATACGCTCAATATCTTACACTTCAACTGATATTGAATTTCTTGATAGGCTTTTTTGTAGGTGGCTAAAATCTGTTTTGCTACTGCCACCATTCACAGCTTTGACGTGTTTTGGAAACATGGAAATTGCTTAGTTTCTGTGTAGTAACTCCTGAATTCTCCCCCAAACTGGGAGTGTGCCAACCATGTTCTTCAGTAAGTTATACACTGACTGAGGATTAGTACTTCATGCAAGTGCAATTTAAAGTATCCAGACCCTCGCATTTGTGTGTATCTCTCTTGTTGTCGCCTGTATGGATAGGATGATGAGACCGAGATAACCAGGAAGACATTCCATTTAGTCCCACACCACCCGTCTCCCCACAAAAGCTGACAGATGGGCTATTGTACCATGCACACGTTGTCACCATTGCAGAATGCATGCTCTGTTGAATTTGTAGCATTACAGATGCCTTTGTTTTTGTACGCGGGGGCTTTTGTAAATGAGGGATGTGACAACAAAAGAATGTTTCCATCTTGATTTTTCCATCTGTAGTTTATGGTTCTCCTTTGTGCCATTGAATCATTGGGTAATGATTGTTTACTCATTTCATGTTAAACATTTTATCTTGGCTGGCATTTTCACATTGCCAACAAAAAATGGAAGATTAAATGTAATGTCTGTCAACAGAGTGGCTTTTATAAGTGATTTCCCTTTCTTTTTTTCTACAACAGGACGCATGGGCCTCAACTTCCATCATCCTGGAGCAGAACACATCATGCCACTGAATAGTAAGTCATATTTTATTGTACTGCCTATCATCTTCTGTTCCATCTGGAATTCATCAGAATCGTCTCAGTTTTACGAATGAAAGTGTTGAAGTTGCTTTTGGTCCTTTGAAGGAATTAGGGAGTGGGAAATGTTTCTGCGGTGCGTTCCAATGAAACACATTCACCCCCTCACCACAGTGGGCCAGGTCAGTGATCATAGAGTGGTGCTGTGATGATGTACTTGTGTGGGCTAACTAGAAAGTAAGCATTGCAAGGAGCCATCAACATGTTTTGTTAAGCAGGATAGTCTCTACAATCACCAGAATTAAAAAGCTAAAGTTGCTGCACATCATCACCGCTAAGCTAAAGGCGGCTAGCGTTCGGTGTTAATATTATTAGTACATTTTGTTTCTTGGTAGCAACCGCCGTTTTTATGACTCGTAATGGCTTCGGACAATAACAAGTGCAGTATATACTGACGTATTTTATGTCCTGGACAAAACATGAAAATCTCTTCAATTTGTGTTACCTACATATCTTATTTCAGACGTATAATCTAAGACAATTTGAACAAAATAATTGACTTCAAGACGAGGCAACTGGATGTTGTAAAATGCTAAATCATTTCCAGGTTTCAGGAATCATTCCTGCAACATTCAATTTTAGACTAGGTTTTTGAACTGGCCACTATCAGCTCAATAACCAACATTTTTCATTAATAACTTCTGTGCCGCATCGTCATCGTCTTGTGTGAATCATCGTCAAAAAGGTTGCGACAACCAGATTTAGCCATTGTTTTTTTGTGTGACAAGATTAACCCTGCTGGGCACACCTGCCTACCCTTTGCCGAGGTCTGGATTCCCTGACACCGCAAACCTAGGGCAGACCTCTCAGCAATGGGGCGAAGCACGGTCGACCTGTGAATAGCACTTTCAAAAATACCCCAGCATGTAAGACTAGATCCCCCCCAACACAGCAGATGACCAGCAGTGACAGAGTCACAGAGTACTCAGGTCTTTACCCGATATGTTGCTACATGGATGCCACAAAGTTTTCCATCGACCTTCTAAATGCTCTTTATAGAGTGGTGTAGGATTGAGTTCTAAAGCCCGGAAATTACTAAGCATTTAACCTCCTCCGATTCTCACAACTTGAAGTTAACGCTTCTTTTTTTAATGTGTTTTTGTCTGAACGCAAGCTTCAGACATTTTACCATTTTGTTTCGCATAAAATACGTCAGTAAATTCCACACTCTTAAATGTCCGAAGCTTCTTTGTGTCATTAAAACAGTCTATGGTTTTTTAATGCATTTTTGGTTAGATGCCTGAAAATTGGTCTTTGGTTAAGACCTATACAGTCTATGGTTAAGACAAGCTAAAGAGCTTTTCGCATTTTGTTCTACAACATAAAATGTGTCTGTAAACACCCCACTGGTGATTGTCCGAAACTTCTGCACGTCATTTAAACTGCAGTCAAGTGACCAAATGAGACTACTACGTAAATGTCATCACGCAGAGCATTAACCACCTTTAGCTTAGCGCTATTGACATGAAGTCATGTGACCATGATGTAGTTTATTTATAGCTTAATGTTTGTTTATTACTTCTGCATTTATGCTTCAGCGACTATAAAAGTGCTGTTAATATGTGGAGATTATCCTGCTGAACAAAATGTGTAAGTATCATAAACGTGTGTTTGCCCCAGAGCTTATTTTTTTTCCGATGGAGCACTATGCTAACTTCCGGGTCTGCCTACAAAAGATGCGTCATCACTGCACCATTTATGTTTAGATTGGGTCTGGGTGTGATTTCTTAGGGTTTTAAACACCCATGTTTTGTCCATCTCCATTAATTAATTTAGGAGCTTTCATTTTTCTAGTCTTTTTGTTCAAACCTCAGCAAAATATCAGGGATGTCTGGACTGACTGGTGATCAAACCAAACCAGTGAAGCCCCTGTGTCCTCTTGCATGTTAAATCAGCCGACGGTGTGTGCAGTCGGATAAAGGCAGAGGATATCCAACATAACAATAACTTTCTCCCTGAATCTTGACAACAATGGTGCTCCTCCTCATTGTTCTTTTCATCGTCTGCATCCCCTGAGAACATGTCCCGGAGTGATTTCCACTGTTCTGTCATGGTATTGCTCTCAGGCAGATCCTCCAAATCTGTCAGAGCAGTTCTCCTCCGCTGTAGCCTGTGATGTGTGCAGACAGGGAATCTTTGGTTTCTCCTATAAAGTGTTTTACTCTGTTTCTCCTTCATTTGGTCCCATTAGCTTTGAGGCTTCACGCTGTGAGAACCCTTTAAGGGCCTCGAGTTTCTCCGGATGGTGTTAGCACTTGAAGTGAAGAAGAAAGAGTGTAGTATAGTAAGTGAAGGTCCTTCATTCAGATGTATTGGTGTTGTTCACTTGACAGCTTGGTTGAAGTGTATGAAGCTTTGAAGCCAAGACCTCAAACTCATCATGCCCAGAGGAATTACCCAAACATTTTCTCCCTCACCCAGACACCACACGGCTTATAGTTGGTGCTTATCAGTGGTTTAAAGTAACCAAGTACATTCACTCAAGTACTGTACTTAAGTACAATTAGGTACTGAGGTACTTTATTTGAGTATTTCCATGTTATGCTACTTTGTACTTCTACCCCAATACAAATCAGAGATACAAAGTGTACTTTGACTCCATTACATTGCTGTAGTACCTTGAGTTACTTTGCAGATATAGACTAACGATAAACAACATATGATCAACACTTAAACAAGACTTTAGTTACAACTAGATTAAACTCACATGACTCAGCAGAAAATAAAGTAATTCAAATTAGCTGCCACTTTCCACGTAAGCACATCAATAATTATGATCAAAACATATAATATACAGTATAAGATTGCGAACTCGGCCATTCTGCACAATGATTCATTTGACTTTTGGTACTTTGAGTATATTTTGATGCTAATACTTTTGTACTTTTACTTGAGAAACATTTTGAATGCAGGACTTTCATTTTTAACAGAGTATTCCTACACTTTGTTATGTCTTTACTTAAGTACAATATCTGAGTACTCTTTCCACCTCTGGTCCTTATTCTTAACCCTCACTTTTCCCTTTCCTCCTTTCCCTCATTGGACTGTTTCCCACATTACCCTTTCTTAATTTTGCCCTGGTTGCTAGGTGACTTTGTTTCTGGCAGACGGTGAGAGGGCAACAGAGAGGCTGGTTTAGTTTGTTTTTTTGGGATTGGACAGCTAGATCTTTTTTAATGAAAACATAGCAAGGGAGAAGAGGCTCAGAGACAATATATTCCCGAGAGAAGCCAGAGAGACGAGTTACACAATGGGCCTCTCACAATGAAAAGGCCCAAATTGGTTTTTGAGGTGATGAGTCTGCTTTGTGACTGATGCGTTTAGAGGACCCAGAGGATCTATTCCCCTCCTGCTGTTTGTTTGAATTTGCCCTGTCTTAAGGCACATTTTGTCTCCAGTGTGGCTTGAATTAGTGGCACAGCAGATTCAAATTACACATGTTTGTGAGAAGATTTTAGAGAAACCCTCAAACACAATCCTGAAACAAGATTTGTGATGCCCAATATGTGTTTTTTATCATCATACGTGAAAAACACTTTGGAAAATAACTTTAAAGTCCACTTACTATCGTCTTCTTGAGCTTCAAGTGAGCATACAAGTCTTTTTTAGTGGATGGAGTTTGCTCAGTTGTCATCACATGACTTAAGAATAGAGTGTTTGGCACACGATAATTAACAGGTGATTGTAAATGGGGGAAGACAGTAACATGTAATGAGCACAATGGGGGGACAATTTAAAACATTCACTTAATACCTCTGGCTGAAGCTTTCAACTGCAGCTCCTGGTCTTCCTCTGTAAATGAAAATCGCTCATTTGACATCACGTGACCTAGGTTTTAGAAAGTTTGGCACCCAATACTAGGTGGTTGTATATGTGGGAAAACAGAAACGAGCTATTGACCGCAATGGGAAAAAAACATCATCATTCAAAATCAGCTTACTAGCTTTTACAGAAGCTTTCAACTGCAGCTCTTGGTCTTCCTCAGTAGATGGAGATTGCTCATGGGGATTTAAGTAAGTTGTTTATTTGGCAGGTGGACACTCAGTTGTTATCTTTATTTCCTTGGACTTCGTTTAATTCAGGGCATTGACACATCAGCATTTTATCCCTTCAGCCTTACAGAAAGTGAGAGGTCAAAGATCAATGTAGAGCAGACATAATCAATCTCCAGACAATGACTTGGCATTTTTTCTTGATTTTTCTGCCAAATCTTTTCTCTCCCTCTTAAAGATGTTGCCATAACTATTCGTGCTGTAACTGCACAAAACTGCACCAGTCATAAAATGTCAATACATATAAATAAATTATAAAAAAAGATCCGTTCAGCCATGCCATCATCATATCCTGCTCTCCATTGCCCCCCCCTCTCTCTGCATGTTACCCTCCCCTCTTTAAAGCCCTGTGGCTCTCTCCTCTCCTGTGGGAAGTTTCCACTCACACCTGGCCTGCCGTACCCAATCTGAGAGCTAGCTTTAATACTTCACCGAGGCCATGATAATGACTAACCTGCTTTACCTTGGGTCCTGCATGCACTCCTCTTTATAGCCTCATTTGTGAATATTCACAGCAGATTATCACGGATGTGAGCAATTACAGGTTCATTAAACCCAGATTAGGATCTCTGGCCATGGCTGTGTCGCATAATGCTGCTAAATATCCGCACCGTTTCCGTGGCAAAACCTCACCTATCGTGCCACACTCCCCCAGCATCTGCCGGCAACTGTTGCCAAGGCAGGTGCAGCAGGTTTACCGTGGGCGGGTGCCAGGCGGTGATAATCACCCCCCCCTCCCGAAGCTTAGGTGTAGCCATCTGTGGTTTCTCTGTTGCCGTAGAGATGTTCTCGGTTTTGGTTTACTTCCACAAAACCCATGTCTCTGTATCTTTTTTCCTCCCCCTGTTCCTGTCCCAACCCTGTGTCTTCTCCCTGTCTCCCCCCCTCCCCCCCCCATGTGCTGACAAGCAGCCCGGAGCTATGGCCGCAGAAGAGGTAACATTTTCTCGGGGGGGTTCTGCTTGCCACGCCGTCTCCGAGGGGGGGGGGGGGTTTTATCGTGGTGTAACCATGTGCTTTTCCTCTGTGCTGTGATTGAATGGAATCATGTTAATTTTGACACAGTTTTTCACATTGTGCATTTAATCAAGATGGGGCGAGGTTCACTGAAATCTGTCTGTGTAAATGAACTTGGTTTGCTTGATGGTGAGAGGGAACACAATTCTGAATTACAATTTCCTTTTCTCTCTATTCTGAGTCAGTGTTTCGGCCGCAGTGTTTATTAAAAACACAATAGGGCAAACAAGGGATGCAAATACATCCCATTTTACATAACAGAAGCTTACAATAAATTAAAAACACATGATCTGTTTTTGCTCCTTTCTCAACCAAATCAAGCCTTTTTAAATGTTAAAGCATGTTTAGTTGGGGTTGTTCTGAAATCAATCTGGAGCGCTTTAATGAACAATTACGCTGACTCAGAAGTGATTCATCATCTGAATGGCAAAAGATGGGTGCTTCCAACGTGGCTCATCTCTTGATTTGTGCATTTTGACTAATTCTGTCTTTCTTCAGCAAGGAGGGAATCTGCCATGTGACTTGTAAGGTCACCGCAGTATTGGGTATAGGAGACAGAAGTTAGATTCATAGCTTTGTGATTGCTATCATTCAAATGTTATCCCTGCTAAAGAAAGAGAGACAACTGCATAGAACATGCATATTATGTTTGGACAAGCTACAACACCATCGAAAGATCCACTTAAATATTGACCAAATATACAACTGTTGTGACATTTCAAACTTCCGAGCAATTTCCCCTATGTGGAGGGACGTGAATTTGACATTGTAACTTGATTTCACCACAACAAACATGAACATATTATCACTGGGGACCATCATGTATCATATCAGAATTATGAAGGTAATCTCTACTTCCAAACTGATTCTGCCATATAAATAGTTTGCAGTATTTCATTAATTAATCTGTAACCCTCTCTCCCTTTCTTTCCTTACCCACTCTTGTACCTCTCTTTCTTCCCCCTGTTATCCCCGTCTCTCTTCCTGGTGTCCTTCTCTTTTCCTCTCTTCCTAGGCCGTTCCTGTCTTTTTCCCTTTGAAGATGGTTTCCTGGACGACGGTCACGGTGACCCCTCTTTGACCCCGGGCCTGAACTCGCCGACCCGCTGCCAGAACGGAGAGAGGATGGAGCGCTACTCCAGGAAGGTCTTTGTCGGAGGCCTCCCCCCTGACATAGATGAAGGTAAACAGAGGATCGTTTTCCATGACTAATCCAGCGAACGCTCCTCAGCTAACTTCAGGCTGCTTTAGCTCCTGCCTGCTGTAGATGTATACTAATAAGGTATAGTACATTTACACTGGAAGCCTCACAGTGCACCTTGTTATTGGCTTTTTGCTGCTAACAGTTACCCTCAAGTATTTGAAAACTACTCAAAGCACTCCTTATTGAGGACATTCTTTCAAGATATTAGTCTAAATCCCTCAGCTTAAAGTCAGTATTTTTTTTAATTAGGTTTTGGTCAGATTCCCAAAAAAGGGTCTGTTGTTGACACAAACGTAATAAATATTCATGTTTTGTTTTACAACATAAGATAAGTCAGTACTGTAAATCCCCGACTCAGGATTTTCTGAAGCTTTTTACTTAGCCTTGCCTTGTCTTAAAAACAGTGGTCGCTACAAGCGGCTAAATTAGAATGGTGAACGTCATCACACCGAACATTAGCTTCCTTTAGGTACCTAATAGCATCACTATATGAGTGTCACTATATCACTATATGGGTTTGCTGTACAATTTGAAACGTCTAAAGGCCCTGACACACCAAGCAGTCACCAGAGAACTCGCTGACGCCGACTGTTGCGTCGGTGTGTTCTCCTGCGTCTTGGCTATGTGTTGCACTGGAACACACCGCAAAGACTTCAGCCAAGCACGTACGAACTGCGCATGCGTGAGTGGCAATAACTCTCCTTACCAGCAGGCGGCGGTAGTGTGTATTCATACAAACAACAAATAACGTGGGCTTTCCGTTTTCACTCTCGTCTATCAAAAAAATGTTTCGTGCGGTACTGGAGCTATCAGCCATTGGAGTGTTGCTTGTGGAAGACATTCTCAAGCAACCGTTTCACTTCTCATGCACTGATTCGCTAGCTGAACAGCCAATCAGTGATTTCTTTGTCCGACTGCCTGTGGCCGACGCACGGCCGATTCAACATGTTGACAGTGCGGGACACACCAAATTGAGTTTGGGCGACAGGGCACGCTTTGTCGTCCGACTAACGAAAACGGCCGATTTCGGCCTGGTGTATCCGGGCCTTTACATCTAAGTATCTTCATGTGCCAGAGAGCCTATTTCCTGCAATATTCGGCTGAAGTCTTTGCGGTGTGTTCCAGTGCGACACATGGCCAAGACGCAGGAGAACACGCCGACGCAACAGTCGGTGTCAGCGTCGGTGAGTTCTCTGGTGACTGCTTGGTGTGTCAGGGCCTTATCACTAAAGACCCTGACACACCAAGCAGTCACCAGAGAACTCGCTGACGCCGACGGCGTGTTCTCCTGCGTCTTGGCCATGTGTCGCACTGGGACACACCGCAAAGACTTCAGCCGAGCACGTACGAACTGCGCATGCGTGAGTGGCAATAACTCTCCTTACCAGCAGGCGGCGGTAGTGTGTATTCGTCATTCAAAAGAGGCAACAACCGGAAGACAGAGAAGAAGAACAGACTACGTGATTTAAACAAACAACAAATAGCGTGTGCGTTCCATTTTCACTCTACAACGAGAAGCTCATGGGGCTTTCCCGAACCTGTGTCGAGAGCTGGAGCAAAATGAAATCTCAGATTTGCCTTCTTAATAGTTTGTTTGGGTCCCTCACTTCCGTTTCACTTCTCATGCACTGATTCGCTAGCTGAACAGCCAATCAGAGTGATTTTTTTTGCCGACTGCGCGCCGAATCGGCGGGTTTTCGGCCAAAAAGGCGTCGGCCCGGCAGAAAAGACACGACGGTGCGGGACACACCAATCTGAGTAGGGCGTGTCGACGCTCATCATCGGCCTGACGCCCACCGACGCCGATAATCGGCCTGGTGTGTCCGGGCCTTAAGACTCTTCTTTCTGAGGGGGACCACAGGGGGGTCCAAGCTCAGTGTTACAGGGGGCACTGGTCCTTGTTGACCCCCCCCCCACCAGAACTGCCCATGGTCTCTACGCTGTTAAACGAGCACATGATGCACAATACATGCCCTTAGCTGGCTGAAAGATTCATGAGTTTCCACGGCACGAGTCTGGATGTGCCCGGCCCGTGTTTCTATTTAATGCAGCCCCTGGAACACGGCAGAAGATAGAAGCGGGCCTATCTCAGCAGAGTGTGTATCTGAGTGTGTTTCTCCATATAGTCTTTGAAATGCATATTACATGAGTATCTTATCATGTCATGAAAATAACATTCAAGTTTCCTCTTGCATTTCCTTCGTTTTACAGATGAGATCACCAACAGTTTCCGTCGCTATGGGCACCTGGTGGTGGACTGGCCCCACAAAGCGGAGAGCAAGTCCTACTTCCCACCTAAAGGTACGGACACATTCTCAGGGCATTATCTGTGTTTTCCCATCACACATCAAAGTCTACAGCAATAAATATCTCCTCGGGTGCTTCTCCATTTTTAAGTTTTGTAAAGAATCGTGTTACGCAGGATTCGTGAACCAAGCTGGGCCACCATGGAGGTGTCTGTTTATCTGAGCGAACCGCTGTTGTCATCTCACAGAAACACACACATAGTAACCATTGACTCTGTAGCTGCGAAAGTCAAAGAAATAAACCAGAAAATTAACTCCAAATAAAACTGCCGCTGAGGCACCAGATAACTGATCTTTGCAGGGAAAAACCGAAGTCCAGGCAAGAATATCCTTTTTTTCATTTTATGTCAATAACAAAAGAACAAAGAGTTGACATTCTTTCCTTCAGCCTTCCTTCTTTCACCCTGGTAGAAAAACATTTGCCAATACTACCAATATCACCTGTCTCCGATACATACAACACGAGGTGCCCAAATCGTGTCTATCGTTTCTACAACAGAGTTTATATTTAGCCACGCCTTCTTCTGCATTAGCGTGATTGCATCATGGAAGTATAAGGAGAACACTAGAACACTAAATAAAAGGTTCATTTAAACTAACGGCAAGAACATCTATTGTTATCTAATAAATAATATAAATCAAAATATAGCTCATACCGACTCCTAACTGGCTTTCAGAATAGAAAATAAATACTTTAAATAGATTGAAATAGTCCTTCTTCCTCATGGTCATCTTGTGTCCTTTCCGTAGAATGTATAACAAGTGGACATCGTCCCCAAGTCATCCAATATCATGCTGTATTGAAGAAGACTTGAAACTAACATTTATGATCGTTCATTAATTGGACAATTGTTTACTGAGGTAATAAATCAGGTGAGACATAGGATACTTTCTTGGATTGTTATGATAGAGTTTCAAGTTTACATTTTCTCAACTCGAAATATTTAAAATTTCTGTAAGAAAGAAATTCTCGTATTGCTTCCTCTATTACGTCTTCTTCTGCCTAGAGTTCTGACCCAAAAAGTGTTTTGGTAAAGTTTTGTCAGGCGATCAGAGCTCGTCTACATCCCTCCCTCTGGCCCAGGAGCTGCTGTGTGTCATATTAGGAAAGCTATTAAAGAAGCTCTGGAAATATCTGACATTCCATAGGCAGATGGTAATACGCTGCATCTGGAGAACCTGCCGCCAGTTTCTCCCCCACTCTCATTTTTCAACATCCCTTTTTTATTTATTTTTTTAGCTCCGGAGGATTATTTTGAATAGGCTTGACTCTACTAATATCCTAAGCCCGAGGGGAAAAAATGCAGCATCCTTTTAGGGGAATGAATGAGCTTACGGCAGCTGGAGAACACCGTCATGTAAGGCGCGGGGGGGGGGATGAAAGGCACGTGGGACTGGTGATCTGGGTAGACTTCATTTCGCCATAACTCCATAGGACCTGATGAAGTGTCCTGTTTATATCACCATCCATATTAACTGGCATTGGAGCTGGACGGATGCCTGGTGCCAGAGTTTTTAGCGCTAATAGCTTCAGGTGTGTGTGTGTGTGTGTGTGTGTGTGTGTGTGTGTGTGTGTGTGTGTGTGTGTGTGTGTGTGTGTGTGTGTGTGTGTGTGTGTGTGTGTGT